CTTAAATTGCACATGCACATGGGAGGGCATTCCATTTCATGCTTTTTCCTTTAGCCCTTTTCTGCTTGTTGTGAGGTTCAAATTTTGAATTCATTTGGGTGTGAATTACAACTCAACAAAAGCACAACCATACAAAATTTCCTTTTGATATTGGTTACAACTTCACTCCTTTATGTAGGAAGGTTAAGTAACTTACGCAAATTCCAATAAAATGTCATTTTAGTAAAGTCGTTGATGGTCATCCGAAGCTTCAGTTGTAATGTCATTTTTCGTTGGTATAATAATAATAATAATAAAAACAAAGAAGTAAAAGGGTAACTTAATCGAGAGAAATGTTCAGGCAATCAAAATCGAATAAAGAATGTAAAAAAAAAATCCCACTATATCTATATGTAAAGAGCAACGAGGATGCTCTTTTATTATTTAATTAATTTATGAACTCCAAGGACCCAAAATTACTGGGCATGAATTTCTGTGAAGTATCATCAAATCAAATTAAAACCAAGTTAGACACCGTCTTTTGTACGTACCATTTGCATAGGGGTAAAAGTCAAAAAGACTTATGAAATCAATGAATGAAGACATCAAGAAACATTGAGAGAACCAAAGGAAAGTTCTTCTTTTCTTTTCTGGAAGCCAGAATTTGGGTGCATAGCTAGCTTGCCTTATGCTGCATCAAAGTCATGTGTGAAATCAGAGTTAGGTGTTTCATTGGGGGTTTAATATGTAACTGTCCACCCGATCCTCGACATTTGCTCTTCCATTTGGCCCACTCTACTTTTCATTTTAAAAAAAAATTTTGATGATTATATTCAGTCAAATCCAAGATATTCTTCTTCCAAGGTTGTGATCATTAAAGATTTAAACTAAGAATTTTTTGAATCTACACCAAACTTGCTTGTTATTGTGTTAGACTACAGGGATATCCTTCTCAATTTCAGTGTCATATATACCTTAATGGTACCAAAATTTAGGGTAGAGTAAGGCAACTTCATGGTAGTTTTCCCTTTAAAAATTTTAACTAACATTTACTTCAAAATGAAACTGTGTTTACTTTTTTTTTTTTTTGAATATTAAAATCATTCTTAATAAAAAAGATCTCAAACGAGTTGAAAGATTCTCAAAAGTTTCACCATATTAAAAACCCAATATAAAAATGGAAAAGAAATATGCTTCGTTGTCAAGTTGATCGATCTCATGGGCAAATTGCAAGAACAAAACTCAATGTGCTTGGTTGTCTTGCTTTGACTTTATGCCTTAGCATTTGGCATAGAAGTCCACAGAGGGAGTAAATGAAAGTTAGATTAATCCTAGCTATAGCCTGTACATAGTGTAGCAAAACAATAGAAGACATATGTTATACCTATATAAGCAGTACTTATATATTGGGTTGAGCTCAATATAATTTGCATTTTGCCTTAAATTTAGAAAAAAAAAGCCTTTGAAAGGAAATCTTTCTTGTTCTAGCTAAATGGATCATGTGTATATATATACAGTCAAATTAAACCGAAGAAGGCCTCAAATAATTTTAAATGAGAAAATAATGATTTTAAAAATTAAAATGACAAGTAATTTAGTAAAGATTGATACAAAATGGTTGAGTTTCAATTTTGAAAGCGAGAATATATGAATTGAGGTGCCTTTTGTTACTTTACAAATTAAAAGCCTAAAAAGAAGTAAATAAATAAAGACAAAATAGGACACAGAAAAAGTACACCTTATATATATATATATAAATTATGTACAATTTTTTTTTTAAAAAAATGTTATGTACAATGTATTTGACAATGTGCATGGGAATGAAGCATAGGCATGTGGATATACAATACGATGTAGCAAAGCACAGAAAACATGCATGTGATTATCAAAGAAGAGCACATGCGGTACGTGACGTGCATGACTGCTTCTGCTGCTGTTTAAGATAACATATCCAAAATTTTCAGAATGGCTTCTGCATTGCTGCCCTTTGTCTAGGGATCTTTCCATGTTATTTCTAAACCACATGGTATGTTTTTTGTCCCCCCCACTCCCATAAATCTTTTTTCTTCTTTCTCTTCTCTACTCATTCTTTATATGACTTTTTTATATAATATATATAATTGCCTTTTTTCTTGTCCAACAATTAATATGCATATATTTGAGGTTTTGAGTAAGGACTAAGGAGATATTTTGTTATAATATTCATGTGTTTTTATATATGATTATATTGGTGGGTCATAATTAATCGGTAGGTAATGACCGATGATACTTAAAAGATTGCTTGGCTTAATGGAAAATTATTGTTGGGTGGTACTCTTCTTTCATTTTAGTGATCTTGTTCCAAACCCTGCCCATGTGAGGGATATATTGCATTGCCATTGCAGCCAAATTAAGGCCGATCAGTCAAATTCAAGTGCTGCCCTTTTTTTATTATTTTGGTTTTATTTTATTCTTAATGATCCTTTAGTTTTTAATCTTCTGTCACGGCAAATAATTAACATGAGGGCAACTTAATACAACCTTCCCACAACGGAAAATAACGTAAATTTTAAAATGCATTTAAATATTAAACTTAATATAGAAATTAATCAATACCACTCATGTTTTGTAAAGTGTCACTACGCATCTATTGAGAAGGTATATTGTTACTTTCCTATACAAGGGAATTCACATTGGCAGGAAATTGATTGTGTCAAGAAAATTTTCTTTGCTTAAATTCACTGATAAAAATAGCAAGAACCTGTGCAGCGTAATACTTGGCGTTTAGAGTTGCAAATAAGTGATTCTCAATCTCCTTGTTCAAACATTTTTTATTCTGACCACTCAATTTTAAAAAATATATAATGCTTTGATCACCAACTAAGTTTATAAGTATTGTTATTTTAATTACTTAATTATTAAAAAATAATAGTCTCGAATTTTACATAAGTATATCTTGGACTGGATTTTTTTTTTAAATATACCTTAGATCGGTAACATATATATTTTATGTAAGAGGTGACCAAAACATATCTTTAGTTGGGTGATCCAAAATAAAATTTTTTGAAATGTTTAGAGATCAAAAGGATATTTTTTTTTAAAAAAACATAACTTGAAATTTATAATGTTGCGTAGAAAATCCTTTCAATTTTAAAATTAATGAGAGACGTAGGTTTACACTGATACAGTAGTATGCTATTAGGTTATTTATGAATTAAGTTAGGGAATATTATTTTCATAATTATCTTTTCTTAGCTATCTTTTACTTTGCTTGTACTCTAAGAAAGTTTAGATTAGGTTACTTATTTATTTTATTTAAAAATTATAATAATCCCACATATGAAAAGTAAAAAGACTCTTTTCTTTAAGAATAATTATAAAAAACCCTTTTGAGTTAATTGTTAGATATATTGAAGTTGAAAATTAAGAAAGAATATTTTCTTTAATAAGTAAAAGTGCTTATTTTGTTTAGACTCTTTTCAAAAGAGCAAGAGATTCTAATATATTTGATTTGGCCAACCAAAGTGGGCTTTTGGTCATTATTCACCTTAGTAGGGTTTTCTAACTTTGTTAAGATTGATGTTCACCTTAGTGGGGGGTTTTTTTAACTCTGCCAAGACTAGTGTTCACCTTAATGGGGATTTTAACCTCACCACGATAAATGTCTTCACAACATTCCATGTCTTTGTAACGCCCTTAACGTTAGTTTGGTATTAGAACGAGAGGATCATTGTTTGCTACATAGTTTAGGTTCTTATCGTTGTCGAGTTTTGACTCTCTTTGTTCGAGTAATTTTGTCCCTTTTATTCTTTCATAGTTGTGCCATTATTTTTTTCTACAACACCACATCATTATCACTATATAATAAAATGCTATCAAGACACAAAAATCGTCAAAGAGATGTTCACAAGATCGAGGTTGAGGAATTGTGTCGTCAAATTCAAAAATTATAAGAGTAACTCGTAAGACGTGATGCTGCTCAAATAAACAACAGTAGCTCCAGTGATAAAGAGGATAATATCAGTCCTTTTTATCAAGAATCGTCTTCTAAAGAAGAAGCACCTATACGCCATCTAAGAACTACTGTTAATAAAGATTTAAGAATCAGGGTAGACATTCTTGAGTTTGAAGGAAGGCTTCACCTTGATGATTTTCTTGATTAGCTCTACATAATGGAAAGAGTTTTCGAGCTTAAAGATGCTTCTAATGAAAAACGTTTGAAACTTGTTGTAATTAAATTAAAAAAACATGCCTTTATTTGGTGGCAAAATCTCAAACAGCAACGAGAAATAGAAGGTCGTAACAAGATTAAAACATGAGATAAGATGCGTCAGAAACTCAAATACAAGTTCTTTCTTAAGCATTATTAATAAGAAATTTTTATTAAATTTCATAACTTAACAGAAAATTATATCAGTGGAGGAACATACATTGGAGTTCGAATAATTTCATATGAAATTGTAGACACATTTTTCATAATAAATAAAAATAAAATAAAAAAATTTAAAAAAATTCAAAAGACTCAGGAAAAAAAAGTTGAAAAGCTGAAAAGGTAAACAGAGAAGGGACTGAGCGTGTGCTCAATCCCCCTTCTTTCGCTCATCATTACGGGGCATTTAATGCCCCGACTGACAGTCGAAATTGGAAGGTAGTGGTCACCTCCGGCCGCCAAATCCCCTTTCAAGCCAATGCCTTGTGAAATCATGCTCAGAAGAGAGCATGATTTCACCTCTGGATTGTCCAAATTTTTGGACAATCCAGCTCGTTAAAAAGGGGCCTCAGATAGAAAATAGGGGGACCAGAAGAGAAATCCCTACAAGAAAGAGCAAAAAAACCATAAAATCAGCCATAAAAAATCCTAATTTCTAGCAGCCAAGGACCACACA